ATACGATATGCAATGTAAAGCCATAATTAATTGATCGCAACTGTGACTCGAAAAATATGATTTACGCCACTCAAGTTAACGAGCTAGTTCTAACGACGACCGCATTTTTAGGCTACATATCCATGTTGTCGAAGAAAGACGTTATTTTCCAACAATCATTTTAGTTATATAAACACAAGTTGTTTATTTATCTCATTCTATCAATTTAATCTTTATTCTCAATAGGACATCATTATATATATCTAGCAAACTAATTATTCTAGAGCTATAACAATTACAATGAGTACCTAATACTGCTAGGAGCCTACTATAAAAATTTTAAATCCAATATTATTACCAATTTATCACAACAATTCCTATAAATTTATATTTTTACAATATTAAGTATCCCAAATTAATTATATAGCTCCTAAGAATATTATCCAACTATGTGAACAAATTATACTAGCAGTGTAGATCATGATTTTAGGAGCCTAACAAAATTGGTTTCACTATTTTTGAACACCCACACAATTTTATCTTGATTTTATAAGTTTGTTTCAAACTAATTAACACTTGCTTTATAAAACTAAATGACCAATGGGAACCTATTCGCCCAATGCCCAAGGCGGAAATCCACTCATACGCGGCCTAGGCGCGACGCCAGTCCAGCAGCGCGACAGATTGGCCCAACGGGCGCTCGAGAGGCCCAGGCACGCAGGCACAAGCCGGCCCAGGCGGCGCGGACGTGAGCGTGGCCCAACAAGCCTACTCTAGTAGTGCCATGGCTCAAAGCGGCAACGCAGTCGGGCCAATGCAATGACGCACGCTGCCCAACTCAGAACGGTAGCGAAAGCGACCAGACGGCGGTGTGGCGCGCAGCCCAAAGAAACCGGAAGTCCTATCCAGAGCGGGTGGGCCACTGATCCACGAGCGGAAACAGGCCGGCACATGAGGGAGGCTCCAGAGCAGAGCATCGGCAGGAGAACCGGCGGCGTGACTATGGTGGCAAGATGGCGGCGGCGAGGGCGCCGGTCCGCTCCACCCCAATAGCGAACGCACGGGCTCGAAAGGTCGAGGCGGAGCTGCTACTAGTCGTGCTAGGGATGGGGTGCTCCGAGACGAACTAGCCACGGACACATCCATGGCGGCATCCAAGGAAGGACTGCGCGCGGCGGCCAGCGACGAAAACGGCACGCACGTGCGCACCGTTGAACTAATGGCTTCTGATCCACGTCAAAGCTCTCTAGGACCTCCTCAAGGTGCTAGGGATTCAAGAAATTGGAGGGATATACCTTGTGTACGATGAATTTGGACCGAAAGGGATGCGGTCATGGCGACGGTGCTCCTGGTGCGCTGGCTGCGCAGCGGCTGCGGCTGCTTGTGACTAGGTGTTCGCCAAGGCGGGCCGCGACGGCAGCACGGCCACGATAGGGACGTGGCGCGGAACCTAGGAGCGCTTGCGTGTGCGATGGCCGGTGACCGGAGTGGCTACGGTGAATGGGACTCGCCGATCAAGGGCGCGAGGAAGGCACTTTCGGGAGGACGGGCGGCAAAGGCGGCTGCCAATAAGCGTGAAAGGAGGAGCGAGGAGGGCGCTGGTGCTCACGCGGAGGGCGACGCTATGGCACGGCGTGCAACGCGGGGAGGAGACGAAACGGCTCAGCGGTGGGGCGCTGGCGCGAGGCAAGCAGAGGAGGGGGAGCAGCTCAGGCGTGCGAGAGGAGGGCAAGGAGACGCGCACGGCTCGGGCGCGCCTACGCGTGGGGTGCTGGGTAGCGGCGTCGGCGGCTGGCCATGGTGGGCGCTGCGGTGGGAGGAAAAACAGCGAGAGAGCGAGGAGGACGAGCAGAGCTGGGACGACTCCCCACGGCAACACAGAAGAAAAAAGGAGAGAAAGGCAAGGCTGACTCGGCCTAACGTGACACAGCGTGGCTGGCAGGACATGTCGGTTGGCACGGACAAGACCGAGGCCGCAGAAAAATAGAGGGAGGGGAGCAGGACGGGACGGCACAACACAGTCAGTAGCAGCAGGCAAGGACAAGGCCGCAGGCACAGAAATAGAAAAGGAGAGAACAAGAGTGTTCGGCCAACTTTCATTAATGTAGGAGCAGCGTGGCAACAGCAAAGACGACATATGTTTCACGCGCTACGGCACAGCAATGGCGTCCCTGCGCGCGGCCTGTGCACGAAGCAGTAGCGGCATGACTCTTTCTCAATAACGCGCGCCAGGATACGTACGTGAGGGAACACGCTGCAGCAGAACGTGTGGGCACCGTGTGGCTCTACTGGCTGCCTGCCCGCGCGTGAGATGACGCGACGCGGAGGTGACAGCGATACGTTGCCGACAACTCTAAAAGAGCTAAATCCTATTGAGTTCCACCAATAAACATCGCGCGCGATAGCTCATACTTATACCAAGCCATGGAACAAAATATTAAAGTGTTATGTAATCCTTTTGTGCAAAACAATTCTCTACAAACAACGCTTTAAAATGTACGTTCCGATTTTTACCGTTGACACGAAAAGCTGGTTTTTAAATTTTTAAAATCCGAAAAAATTATTTTGAAAATTTTCTTAGACCTAAATCGCGGTGCTAAACAAGCTCGTAACAGCAGAGGTGTTACACATATCTCACGTGCCTAGTAGATATAAACCTCAGGCCTCGTGTGGATCCATGGAATTGAATTCATTCTAATAAATTCTAATTTATGTATATATTAATCAAGCTACTATGGTTATATGTGAAATGTATTTGTATACTATTGTTAGCCATATAAAAGAGATGTGCATATGTTGTATTTCTACTATAGGGGAACGAGCTAAAGAGCGTACTACAAGTTGAAGAATAGAAACATAGCATAGTTATATATAGAATTAATTTTCATCTTACACCCTATGAATTTGAGATAGAGTTACATGTGAACTTTTGAAAGTTGTAGAATCTCAAATTCCAAACCAAATAGCCTAACCCATTAAATAGATTCTAATTCCTCTAAAATAAAGTGATCCAAACGGCCCCTTATATATTTTATGCAATCCGTGTCAAATATTGGAACAAAATTGTAAGATCCCTTTGCAAATAGGTTCCTGGCGCCCTAGTTTTGGAATATATCTAAGGAAGAATAATGCATTCTCTCTCTCTCCCTCCATCTTTAGCAAATATTTTTCCTCTAACATTTCCATGTGCGGTTTTTGTTAACCATTTAAGCACATCGCTCTCAAATATTTACTTTTCTTATATTCGCAAAGATTTGGCGACCCACCATATTTCTCAAGAAATGTTTCAGAGAGATCTTATTTCGTATAGTACAATTGTCAAAGGTATTCATTTTTCCCTCAAGTTCGTGCGTCTTGCACTTGACACACAATCACTTAATACGTGAGTATTAATATTTTTTAAATGCTTTTCAGATTTTGTAAGCTGAGATTATGCATCTATCTAGCATTCACGTTGATTATTACTCTCCATTTTTGTTTTCAGACATATTAACATTTATTAGGGCATGTTTGGCTTTCTATTGCAGGTTGCCACACTAGAGCTTCAGTCGTGCCATAAGTGCGGCACATGAAAATAGTGCCACACTTTAGTGGAGCTACAACATAAAAAAATGAACTACCGGCGCCTAAGCAGGTGGCACACTACAACTTACATCATGAATCAAACGTTAGTTAAAGTTACGCGAGATGAGGCATGATGACTTGTGGCAACCTTTGTTAACGAACCAAACACACCTTTAAATGTGACAAATTTCGTATGTTTAGGAGTAATAAAAACGATTAAACTTTTTCGAGTGCACTCTCATGTGCCTACTGGACTACTGGTGCAATGCATTTGCGTCACCTTGTAATATTTTCTCTGTCCACAAATTAATGCAATTCCGGCTATTCGAGGAGTTAAACAGTTCGAACTTTGACTAAATTTATAATTCGTGGTATGAAATAAATATCATTAGATCAGTTATAGAATCTATTTTCATAGAGACATAAATGCTAATACTACTTTATTATAAACTTAGTCAAAGTTGAGTTAGTTTGACCAGCACGGATCCCATAATTGTATTCTTTTATAGACGGAGGAAGTAATTAGGATTTACAATTAGGAAAAAAGATTGATTTCACTATGGGGCCTTGTTTAAATTGCAAGTTTTTTCACTCTCTCTCCATCACATCAAATCTTTGGACACATGCATGGAGTATTAAATGTAGATAAAAAAATAACTAATTACACAGTTTGATTGTAAATTACGAGACGAATCTTTTGGCCATGATCAGGCAATAATTGTCAAATACAAACGAAAGTGCTATAGTACCAAATACTGATTCCTAACCCCAATCTAAACAAGACCTGGTTAAAAACTTTCAAGGTTGTATCAGGATAAGTACACCAAAAATGAATAAATTTGTCGCGGAAGCCGGACTGCTCGTGAGACGCACACAATTCGTGCGGTCCAAACTCACGCGAGAAACCCATCCCCAAAACTCCCACGCGCACCCAGAATACTCACCCTTTCCGCATCGCACTCTCACTGCTTCCGGGCCCCACGACACCCCACATCTCCCAGACGCACACGTCATCGTCGGCTCCGTCCCGAGTCCCACCCTTACCCACCACACAAACCGCCTGCGGCCTCGTAGCATTTCTCACAAACTCGACCAGGGGCCAGTCGTCAGATGGCCTCCACGTGGCACGCTCCGGCATCCCCGCCCTCCACGCCCCGCTGCCCACGGTCACGGGAACTGCCAGCGCTGACCGTCCGATCCTGCCCTTCGCCGCCAGAGGACGGCCCAGATCCTGCCCGGCCCGGCGCGGGCAGCCCACGCGCTGCTATTAAAGGCACCCCCGTTCCGCTCCTCACCTCACCTCCTCGCCCCCCAACGCATTGCCGAACGTGTCGCGCTCGCGCCCGCCCGAGCCCGATAAGCCCGCGAAGCCCAGGCCCAGCCAGACCCACCCGCGAAGCGATGCGACGGAGGAGATCGTGAGATCGCGGGCCGCCGCCACCCCGCTGTCGCCGGCGATGACCTCCGCCGTCCTCGCCGGCCGGAATGAGGTCCACCACGCGCACCCGCACCACCGCCACTGGGGCGGCGCCCGCGTCCCCCTCATGCCCAATCCGTCCTCCAACCCTAACCCTAGGCGCCACCACCCCGCGGGGGGCCCAAACCCTATCCCCAGCGGCTCGCCGCCGGCGCCGCCGCGGGCCGTCCCGGCGGTCGCCGCGGCCGAGCCCTTGCCGTCGTCTTCGGGGCACGTGAAGTTCAGGCCGTCGGAAGTGACCCCCGCCGAGGCCAGGCTTCCGCGCGCGGCTCACCGGCGAGCTCGGCCGCGTCCGCGCTTTCCTCTCCCGCATCGACTCGTTGCAGGACGGGCAGCGCCGGCGCCGGGCGCCTGGAGCCCTGCGCGCCGCTCGTCCCCGTTCCCGCCGCCGGTGCTGGTGGAGGCGATGCGGAAGCGGTGCGCGGACATCCTGATGCGGCTGCGGAGATCGAAGAAAAGCGTGTGGTTCAACTCCCCCGTCGACGTGGAGGGCCTCAAGCTCCACGACTACCGCGCCATCATACGGAGCCCCATGGATCTCGGCACCGTCAAGCAGAACCTCACCGCTGGCCGGTTCCCCTCGCACGAGGCGTTCGCCGGCGACGTCCGGCTCACCTTCAACAACGCGCTGCGGTACAACCCGCCCGACCACCACGTGCACAGGTACGCCGGCAACCTCCTCGCCTCGTTCGAGGGGATGTACAAGGAGGCCGTCTCGTGGTTCGAGCAGCAGCGCCAGCAACTCGAGCCACCAATGCAGCTCGATCTGCCGCCGCCTCCACCACCACCACCACAGCTGCCAGTTTCTGTGCCAGTGCAAGCGCCCCTGAGGATGGGGGGGTGGGAGGAAGCCCAAGCCCAAGGCGAGGGAGCCAAACAAGAGGGGAGATGGATGAGGAGGAGAAGCAGAAGCTGAGGGTGGAGATTGAGAACCTGCCGAGGAGAAGATGCTGAATGTGCTGCAGATTGTGCAGAAGAGGAACAGTGATCCAGCATTGACGGGGAGGAGGTGGAGCTTGATTTTGATGACCTGGATGTCGAGACCATGGGAGCTTGATCGATTTGTGGTCAATTGGAGGAAGGCGCTAAAGAAGAACCAGCGGAATTCTATGATGAATGGTGATGCTGCTGCCATGAATGGACACGCCATCGATGTGACAATTGTTCCGGATGATGATGACATGGTCGAGGTTGCTGTCAATCCGTCTGTGGTGGTTGAAATTGGAGAGTCCGTATGTCATTCTGAAGCAACCTTAGCTGTTCTATTTTGTAGTTTCCGTGAACCTGTTATGTTTGGACTCTGTTCTAATGTTGATCCTGTTTTTGTTGCCTATTTTAGGAGACTGACATTCCAAAGAAGAGGGAAATGGAGGCGGAGGACGAGTATGTGGATATCGGTGATGAGATGCCAACGGTGAATTACCAGTCGGTGGAGATTGAGCGGGATTCCCCAGCAGCTAGCAGCTCAAGCGGATCAGGAAGTGGCTCATCTTCATCCAGTGGTACGGTGGAGCAAATGAGTATTTGTCACCACAAATGCTGAGTTATCGATTGAGTAGCTCTTTAATTCATTATTAAAATTCCTTGCAGATTCTGACTCGGACTCTGAATCTGATGGGGATGATGCAAGCGCCCCGCACTAGGTGGTTGCTCTTTTATCTGACTGTAGGATTAACGATGAGTAGGTGACTGAGGTTCCTTTTGGTGAGGCATTTTGAAGAATGGTATAGCAAATTGGAGGGGGCTCTTGTTCATGCAAGTCGTTGTCAGGTGTGTTCGTTTGTGTATGTGGGTGCAGCTTAGGTTGTCGGTACTTGGTAGTGAATAGGTAGATGGTTGGGTAGATTGGGAGACTACTGTAAAGAAGGGAATGTAATCTGGAATGGAATGAAGAGGAAAAGTAGCAATGCCTTGGCATTTCATGATGTCTGTTGCTTTCTTTGTATATGTTTCTTACTGCACTAGCCGATCTATTGTGCACATATGTTTTATTAATGTTCATCTGACATTACAAACTACATCTGAAAGAGTTCGCTGCAGTGCCTTAATTTGGTTCTAAAACACTGAAACGTACCATTGTACATTGATCCTGGTGCAAATTGCTGTCATGCTAATGTTTTTTGCCTGATTGCAGAAATATGTATATGTTTTGCTCTGATTATTATCTTATAATGTTACTAAATATTGTAATCCTGATCGTCAACATTAGCATAGCATACAGTTCTGCTTGAAGCATTTCCTTTATATATTTGCTCAAACCCGAACTTTAATCTGCAACGTCTTTGCTGCGACATCTCAGAATGATCTCACCTTTCTAATCTGAACATCCAGGTTGAGACGGGTATTTCTGACATAAGTTGACTGTTAGAACACATTCTGTGCAGGAACTAGAAGCGCCAGATGTCCTCTATTGCCTTGGCATTTCAAGATGTCTGTTACTGCAGTTGCCGATCTATTGTGCACATACGTTTTATTAATATTCATTTGACATGACAAACTAAATCAGGAAGAGAGTGCTGGAGTGCCTTAATTTGGTGCCAAAACACTGAAACAGACCATGGTACATTATCCTGGTGCAAGTTGATAGCATACTGTAGTTCTGCTGGAAGTGTTTCCTTTATGCTTCCTTATCAGAAGAGTGTCAATTCTCAGCTCACGACAAGTCAAATATTTTTAACTTTGACAAAATATACTCTTCTAGTCAAATATTTTGAACTTTGACAAAATATACATGCGAGAATATTAATATTTATGAACAACTAAATCATAAAATACAATTTATAGTAAACTTTTTGAAGATACAAATGTTCTTATGTTTTATAAACCTAATCAAGTTTTAGAAAGTTTGATCTGTACGACACTATTTTGGCTATTTTGGGATGAAGGGAGTACATCTTTGTTCAAATCTTTCCTTTAATCTGCAACATCTTTGTTGCGACGTCTCAGAATCATCTAACCTTTTTAATCTGGAACGTCCACGCTGAGACAGTTATTTGTGACAGTTTATTTATACTAATTGTTAGGAGACAGTTATTTCTGTATTCAAGCAGTAACTAGAAGCGTCAGATGTACTCTATTGCCTGCAGGCACAGCAAACTGCATGTACGCTTTGGTATCTGAGATTTTTGGTAGATCTGATCGCCACCAGTGCCGCTTTGGTATCTCTGTTCGTTTTACGTAACCAATTTAGTTTTGATCGCTAAAGTTCGAGATGTCATTTCCCTTGCTTTTTCTGTCCTCTATGGAAGCAGTGTCGTTTCGGTATTAGCTTGCCCCCATTGCCAGTTTTGCCACAGTTGCTACCTGCTAGTCTGTTCGGCAAATTCTAGGGGACACAGACGATGGCTGCTTCTCTGTTCGGCAAGTGCCAGGGTCAGCCGCTTCTATCGGAAAACTTGGGGTCAGCCGCTTCTAACGGAAAACTTAAGTATGGCAACACGAAACGGGCCATCATAAAGGAAATCTCTATCACTGCAGCAACGCAACGGTCACAATATTTCAACTGACAAAAAGATACCAACATTCCAGTACCGGTACCACAACACAAAACAAAACAACTCAAAATTTCACTGGATCATCAGATCATCCTTTCTCTTGCCGCATCCTCACAGAATCCCCCTTATTCATCTTCAGTCATCACCAGAAGTGTCCTCGCCGAATGCCCCTTCATCTTCAGTCATCACCAAAAGTGGTCTTCTTTCCTGTGCAAATAAGAGGATGTGTATGCAGTGAGCTCAAAGCAGCTTTAGCAGTTAGAAAATTGTAAGTCATGGCCAATAGGTATGGCAGCGCAGCCCAATGTTGCTCAAACCAAAATGCAGTTATCTTTACAAGTACAGGATGAATCCTACCTGCACTAGGAGTGCCAGCACTCTGCCTGTTACCAAAGCCACGGCCGCCGCCACCGTCCCCACGGCCACCATCCCTACCACCACGTCGTCCGCCAAATCTGCCGCCACCATCCCTGCCCCCAGATCGGTCACCAAATCTGCCACCGCCACCACGCCTGACCCACGGAACCGAATCTGCCACCAGAACGGTCACCAAATCTGCCACCACCACGCTGGCCGCCATCGCTTTTGGCTTGGCTTCATCAACATAAAGCTCATAGCCACCACCAATGTCAGAGCCACTGAGCTCAATGGCTTTGGACACTGAATCCTGATCCTTAAAGTCCATGTAAGCCATTCTGCAGAGTTAAGAAGATCAACACACTTGTCACTAGTAATTGCTTCTAAATTTCACAGATGGATAGTTACTGGGATGCTGGTGTTTTTTGGTAGTGAAACCCACCCTTTGATTGCACCAGACTCATAATCAGTCAGGATAGAGACCCTTGTTATATCACCACATTCAGCAAAATGTTGTTGGAGAGCGCTTCGGATCTGGATTCAGTGTCAAACATTGGCATTGAAATTTCCTGAGATAAAAATAGCTAAACAAAAAGAAATTACCTCATCCTCTGCAAGATTTTTATCGAAACCCCGGATAAATATCGAGTTGTTGCTACCCCTGAACTGGCTTCTGGAAAGATCCATCATTGCTGTTACAGTTTACCCATCAATACACAGTTAATAACAATGGTAAGGCATCAGAAAGTGCACCGTAATGCTCTTAAGAGACATTAAGATCATCTTACCCACTCACGAGGAGTTTGTGTATTTCTTCCCTTAGCGAAGTCAAGTCTTACTTCACGACCCTGCAACTCTTTTGATTGCTTCTCTTTAAATGCCTGCTAGAAAACAATCCATTAGATATCTTGTTTAATTGCATATTTGCAACTATATCACTCAGAAGACAATTTTAAGCAGAAAAAAATTGCATAACAGCTTCAGCTTCAAAGATAATCTCAAAATGACAAGATACAAGAAATATATAGTAACATTACCTTTTCAGCAGCCTCAGCTGAAACAAATTCAACATAGCAAAATCCTTTACGATTGCCATCCTCATGTGTGGGAAAACGAACATCAACAACCTCACCAGCATCCGCAAAAAATTCTTTCCTGCAAACATTAGTATTAGAACACCTGCTGCAAAAAGGTTCAATATAATGTGTGACCTGAAATAAACTTACACATCGTCAAATTCAGCTCTCAGGGGACGTTTGCCATAAAAAGTGTCTTCACCTCCTCCGTTTGCTTCGTTTTGGGAGCCCATAGGTGTTTTAGGCTGCCATAGTATCAAATTATAAATGTTGCATCTATGTAACTTCATTAAAAGAACAAAAGCTCAAAGTAACAGATTCATACTTCTTTGGTAGCAGTTTGCTTTTCAGAGGCATGCATAGGAGCTTCCTGTGTTGTTTCAATTCAAACAAAAATGTCATAAATGCAAATTCAAAAAGATATAGTGAAACATGTGTCCATTTAAATAATGAGTCATACTTCAATTTGTGTAGTAACAAGTGAGAAAATACCTTCTTTGGAGTATTAGCAGGCTCTTCACTGTCTTCATCACTATCATCTTCAGAAGATTCATCCTCAGATCCACTGCTTGCTGATGCTTTTGGTGCCTGGTAAAGCATCTAGTTAATACTGGTTAACATTAATAACATGTTGCCTACATCGAAGAATTTGTGAAGTACCTTCTTTTGTTCAACTTTTGTACGCTCATCATCAGAACTTTCCTCACTACTGCCATCCTCATCCTCACTGCTGCTTCCATTCTTTGCAGCTGAAGGTGCTTCCTATTAACAGAAGAAAAACAATGTGAACAATGGAACAACAGGAAAAGAATAATGAAAATATGCAAAGAAAAATAAGCAAATTGAGTATTTGCAGCACCTTCTGCTTCTTTTGGGGAGGTTTCTCGTCCTCATCAGTGTCAGAGTCATCACTTGATTCATCTTTCATTTTTGAAGCAGCTCTCTTGGCAGGCTGAGTTTTACTTGCATCCTAATGAGTTTAGAAATAAGGTGATCAAAATGGCATAATGCGTAACATGCAAATGTTTACAGCAAAAAATGTTTTACACATACCTCAACCTCAGAATCACTCTCTGACTCACTTCCACTGGAATCTTCCTTTTTGGTAGCCACTACAGAAGCCTTAGACTTAGGAGGCACTTCCTGAAAATAATCATGTTACAACTCAAATAATGCATAACCATGGAAATTATTGGCACAAACTATGGTGAAGGACAAGAACAGGATATACAACGGTTAACCGAAATACATGTGAATAAATAAACAAACCCAATGCACACACCTCATCTGAGTCATCATCAGAGTCACTCTCAGACGGATCCTCCTTTTTCTTTTGTGCATCAATCACAGATGGTTTCTTTAGAGGGGCAGCAGGTTTCTGAAAAAATGCACACAGAAGAGAAACGATACCATCAGCTGGCTAAGCTAAATAAGCATCTCAGGGCACACAACATAATACAAGTCGGCAATAATATGATGACAAATCAGTAAATACATATCTACATGTTAGGTTAGAGATGGCATTGCATCAGAAAACCTAATGAAAATGCAATCATTAATCTTAAGGTAAAATGGAATTAAAGCCAAATAAGCATGAATGTTCCACTCACAACATCATCATCTGACTCATCGTCAGAACTGTCCTCATCGCTGCTGCTTTCTTGCTTGCCTTTTTCTTCAAACCATTTTTGGCAACAGCGCCCAAGGGTTTAGCAGCAGCCTTCTTTGCAGGTTCCTGAATCAAAGAACACGAGTTGGTAGCTCAACATCTGAAAAGTACATTCAAATAATCAATTCGTTTGCTGGCAATTTATCCTAGATTAGTAACAACTAAACATTAATCTGGGCTGCCATGGTGGTAAAATGGAATTAACTGTGCACAAGACATAAGACAAACAGGAAACTTCAACTCACATCATCGTCGTCGTCATCATCCAACTCATCTTCACTGCCCTCATCACTGCTGCTCTCTTTCTTGCCTGTCTTGAACCATTTTTCGCAACAGCAGGCTTAGCAGCAGGCTTCTTTGCAGGTTCCTTAATGAAAAGATGAATTAGCATCTAAACATCCTCTGAAAACCACATTCAATGACTCAATTTGCTGGCTGCTGATTCTTTCAGCTCCGAAACCTGCAATCAATGCCATACCTCATCAGATTCAGAGGTCGCGTCGCTGCTGTCATCGTCACTGGATTCTTGTTTAGCGATCTTAGCAGCAGGCGCCTTCTTTGGTACCTTAATCTGTGGAAACAGAAGTTAACTATGTTACAGAAGAAGAAACTTCAATTGCTAAAAAAAAATATCACCTTTACAAGCCATACTCAGACTCCAGATTCTGCAAGGGACTAGATCATCTACTGCAGCAGCTATTTCTGTCTACCCTCCCCACCTCAATCAAATCATTAAAAATTCTAAAATAAAAAATCCTGTACCCGCCATACGTACGAGAGAGAAACAAGAACAAGCATCACCGCATACCTCCTCTTCGGACTCAGAGTCCTCTTCGGAGCCACTGCTGCTGCTCTCAACCTTCTTGGGGGGCAGCTGCTTCTTTGCCTCTTGGCGTCCTTCTTGGACGGCACCACGGCCTTCGCCGGTGGCGCCGCCTTCTGCTTCTTCGCGCTCACCGCCTTCTCGATCTCATCCTCCGCATCCCGCTTCTTCCCTTGGGCACCGGCACCGGCGCCGCGCCCACGGCGGCCGCCTTCTTGCTTGACTTGCCCATCGGAGGAGAGGGAGAGGAGGCAAGGGTGGAGCGGAGAAACCCTAGTGGCTGCTAGGGTTTTAGGGAGAGGGGATTCGAGGAGGAGGCGACGGAGGTTGTTTATAGGCCGGGGTGGTCGGGTTCCATGGGCCGTGGTGGGCTTTATATGAGCCTTATTGTCTGTGCGCACAACGCGGGGTCACGGTCTTGGTGGCAAGAGTAGAGCCCAAACAAAAAATGTTAGTTTCAAACAAAAAAACATTTCTCCCGCTCCAATATTGTCATTTTGCTAAAAAAAAGAAAGAGTAAAGTGGACTTTGTTTGATATATTATTCTAGTCCAAAAATTAGCAAATCATTCATTTAGGTCTTCACACTTATTTTTCGGTCTCTAAAATTACAAATCAATCGTTTAGGTCCTCAAACTTGTTTCGTTGTGTTATCCAGATGCCTAGACTTACAATCACCCATTAGATCCAGGTCTAAACAGGTCTAGCCTCATGTCAGTATGTGTTGTCTGTGGCATGCTCATGCGCCCCATGTTCCTTCCTCCTCCCCTGAGCTCCCCCTCTCGTGAGCTCACGGCTTAAAAGCGACATGGCTTGGGAGGCACCCGGTGGGGATGGGCGACTGGCCGGGTCTTGGCGCGCTTCTCGGACAACTAGGGTGCGACCGACCATAGGGCTCGCGCCCAGGAGGAGCACAATTAGAGGTGTAACCAAAGCGATAGGTCAAGATGGTAGACTAGAGAGGTGAATAGTCTTTTATAAAAATAAATGCGTCGACTAAGCAAAATAAATGTGAAATTAAAACTACTCAATCTAGCCAATGCTAAATTTATCTATCTATGTTCACAAGTAGCTTACACAAGATCATAATTAAGAAACTAAGGTATCGGGGCTGCTAGGTAGAGCTCACTGCATGATTCTAGATCACATAAACCTATGCAACTAATACTCAAAACAAACGAGAAATTCCTACACATATTAGTGAGCAAAGCGCACAAAGCCTAAACACACTAGCACTACCCAACTAGCAAAGCTACACAAGCTAAACTAGATAGCAAAACAAGCCACACAAGCTAAGCAAGGCTACTAAGCTATATAAGCCTATTATAGTATGACAAAGCTATGGTTACACAAAGGCCCATATTCTCTTCTCTTATAATCTGTATTTTTTTAGCTTATTTTTAGCCAAAACAGTGTTCGATTTGTTTTTCAAATAAGCGTAATGGGGCCAAAGATTGTGTCTATAAAGAAGAGGTCATAATGAAATATCCGAACTCCAAAAAAAGAACTATAATTTTAACAAAATCATGGTTACGGAGACTCCAATATCTGTTGTGTTTAATAAACATAATAACTTTTTGAACCAAAGTATTTTTGTAAAACCATAATATTTCTCTAATGCTTAAAAAATACTTTACGACATAAATAGTGCCTGAGTATGTAAACTAATGTAACTACTTATTATAAACAATACTATTAGTTAATGGCTTTTCCCAACAATGGTACCCAGAAAGCTAGGTTAATAGTGTGGACTGGTATGGGGTAGAGAGAATTAAAAGAAATCAAAAGAGGAACAGAGGGGTTCAATCTGCTTCTGGATTGAAACCCCAAAACTAATCTCTGGAAATCGAAATGCGTATAGCTCCCAACGTAACTCCTAACCCGGCCAGAAAGAAGAACAATAACCCTAACCCCAACTCCCAACCTCCCAAATCGTTCAACTCAAAAAAAAGAAAGAAGATCCAAAAGAGAAGAAGGGCAAGAGGGAAGGGCTTACCTCACCGATCCTAAAACAAAACCAAAAGAAAATGAATCGGGTTATCTCAACCTAATCTAAAACCCTAATCGCCAACCTAATCTCAACTGCAGAACCGAGAAGAACACAAAGCTAAGATCTAAAGATGCAGATCCCTCAAGGGGAAGGTACCAGATACGGCTGTCAAGCTTGAACACCGACTGGGCCACCGTAGCAAAGTAACAAGAGAAGGTGAAAGGGGAATGGGCAGTAGTAAGAGCGTTGTCGTTTAATCACCAGACTGCAGTCAAACCCCTAACCCATGAAGAAGTCAACAACGTAATGAAAAGTGAAGTGAGTCAAAGGGGTCTCGGCTCAACTCACGATGAGGAACCCAGAGAAGAAGTCGTATTGTTGAAGATGCTCCACTGACCGTCGTGGGAGTCAAACTCAACTGGGCCAATCACGATGGACGCCACGTAAAGTAAGAGAGAGTTAATTTCGGTGGGAAGAGAAGCGCCGACGATATTCCTCATTTCTGTCAGCTAAAGGGCACCACATGGTGGAAGATCGACAAGGTTGCTACATGACTCGTCAAGATGCTATACCGGAGAGGTGCCACGGAGTCATTACCCTCCTCAATACACCACCATGAAATACTTTGAGCTCTCATTCGGCCATGGCCGTCATTGCTACATAGACTGTGGGGAGAAGAAAGGCGCGTCACCATCCTCTCACATATCCATGGTGAGTTCTCGATGGCTATTTTAAGGTCGTCACGATGCGGGCTTTTGATCAGAAAGTGGCTGACTGCCCGAGAGAGAGACGATAAAAGTAGTTAATGGGTTGCAGGCTGGGTTTGCCCTGGTTTTGATCAGTGAAGCATGACTTTACCACCGATCCAGATCGACGGTATAACATTTTACGAGGTCGGCTCAGCGGAAAAGGAAGCTGGATGAAATATTGAAAGAGATGACGTGATAGGCTTGGTCAGCTTTTGGTCATTGAACAAATGACACCGAGTCAGCTTTTCCCTTTTTAGCTCTAGTAAAATGCTCATTTCTGGAAAATGAAAATGGCTCATAGTATGTAGTAGAAATGTGAAATTCGTCCTTTTGTGGGTAAAATTACAAATTATGCTTAAAGCTTTCGTCATGAAGAAATATAGTTTATTCTTTGCTATTTTGAATCAACGTGATATTTAATTGGAGAAAAGAGATTTTGACATGATTATGATGTTATATTTTCTCAATTAACGTTGTTAACAATAGTGATCGTAATTTTGTTGATTTCATGCATTAATTCTATCATCCTATCCAATGGATAATGAATTAGCATGTAGAGGATAATGTATGTTTTATTCTTTGACCAACGTTGAAATCCAGGCATGCAATTGTTATTATTATGTTTATATTCCCACCAATATGAACTATGTTTTCTGCCGTGATACAATCTGATGGGCTGTATCAGAGATCCCCACCTTGTGCTGCTGTGAGATATCATACGTGAGTGAAAGCAAAAAGATTGATTCCGCCTTCATCTTGGCTATAAGGATCGGTCAAATGTACTTAACTGTGTCCCCATCGTAGCCTCATGGTACCCCTGGAGGGGTGGCAAATGAATGTCATGTTTTTGGCCACCAGAGAGGAGGGGATTTTGAATCCCAAAAGATGTCCTATGACTTTTACATAGAAGTGGATCAACGCCAATGGGCAAATGGGGTTATGTCAGGATAGAAGAACAGTGCATCAAGCCTCGCAATTGTGGGTCTCAATCCCTAGAGTGCAGACATCGTCACCGAGTACCCTCGAGGAACAAAGAGCTTGCCTCAAAGGGCTCTTCAAAGACATACATGCTACCCAAAATGATAAAAACAACTGTGATAGAGAGGCAAAATTTTAGAAATGGTGTGTACAAGAGAAAGCAAATACTATTTGTTATCACCATATGATGACATGGAGCCAGCGCGCGATGATGGGGAACGCTATATATGCATAGTGAGAATGTATCCTCGTCTGTGGATGTCAGATGAGCAACGGTAAAGAGATCATCACGTATCACTATCGAAATTATGGAATCTGGGTTGCCAGGGCCTTACATCAAGGGCAGAATAGATCTGTTAGTTGTAAATGATATTCTTCCTCCATTAGAAAGTTCTTAGATTTAACATAATGTAGAATGGATGTAAGGAAAGTATGTAAAGAAAATTTCAAGGCGTATGTCGTGTCTGCTGCATGAATTTTTAAGGTGCATTATCTGCATATAACTCGTGGTCCATTTTCCTAAAGAGCATGGATGGTTATGATTCATCTCACAACATTCACATGCATGATTACCCTCATAGGTTGGCATTTATCCAATCAAAGAAAGAATGTAGGGCCGATAAATTTAAGATATTTAAGGTGTAAGTTGAAAATCAACACAATTTAAAGATTAAGATAGTTTAAACCACTATTGCAGGAGGCACTAATGCCTGTGATAATTCTAGTGGCTATGGCTAAGTTCCTCGGACCTTTTGCAAGGTTCTTGCTGTGGAATGGTATAGAGCCTGATTCATGTCTTCGTGAAATCAGCAGATGAGTGAACAGACTGAATGTAATCATGGATGCAAGTAATATGATAAGTTACTCCACCATCATGAAGTCGTGATGAGTGTTAAAACCCCATTCATATTCTCAATAGAGTATTTGGTAAGTTTATGCCCAAAACACTGTATGAGTTGTAGATGTGAAGAGTACCACCAAATCACTCTACGGTGGAAGTCCTGAGGCTATATTTAACCCAAACATTGGGAAGCTAGATCCCAAAATAGTAGTTGCCATTTGTCGGTGTTTTGGACCATGGGGTCCTTAACCGACTAGTGAAAAGTTATGTTCCTAATCCCTGATGGTGATGCAAAGAGATACAAGGTTTATACTGGTTCAGCAATAGGTGCCCCTACGTCCGGCTTGAGGGAGCGATCTTGTATTCCTTGCACCAAGGTGCTTGTAGTAGGGGCATACAAGTCAAGCGAGAGGGAGCTAGCCCCATGTCTCGTGAATTGTAGTGTGGGTTGCTTGAGATGTTGATCTCGCAAAGGAAGGAGAAAAGTGTTATAGAGTGTTGCGCGTGGTTGTCCGTTTTCTTTACCTAGCGGCCCCGGTCACTCTTTTATAGTCGAAGGGAGGCACAGGTATGTACATGTATCTGCCATATGGCGTTTTTTCAGGTGGTGGCGTCCGAGCCTCGCAACTTGTCACTATGGCGGCACGGTCGGTGGAGCTTCTTGTCCTCCGTGCA